GGACGGCCTAGCTTTCTCAGACTAGTCCAGACCCCATATTATTTTCATATATCCTGCAACTGTCAAGTACGCAGATTCCTGCAGTAAAAAAATTGACAGCTGTTTCCGCACAATTAACGAAGTTATTAAAGTAATCAGGTTATAAGGTATGTGTAAAAAACGTAAACGGCCTCACATTTCTGCTAATATCTCGGCAAAAAAAAAGGCCAAAAAGCAACAAATTCCGAAAACAAACAGATCATAATACACTAAGAGACAACAGCTCTTTGTCACACCTCAATTACATGTGATATACAAAAGTTATGCATACGTTTTTGGAGGTCGCTCGCATAACTTCCGGTCATCGTAAAGCACAGTGGCACTTCGCCAAAACTCCTGAAACCTTTCCCAAAGCAATGCGTTTTTCCACTCGTTTTCTTGGACGTAAAATTAGAAATAAACGCGAGTATAATAGTGTTGGCCGTTTGAGTTGATTCGATAATTCTTTATTTGCTGAAACCTTCGATTATAAACAACGAAGCTGTGGAAGTACAGAGTATAAGGAAAAGATCACGGGACAGTTGTCCACGAATCTCCCCTAACAATGTATAGTATATTATTAATGTCAATTATTGATAGAAAAGCAACACTGATCAAGTACGGTCTTTAGTGCTACTCTATTCTAAAGAATTATCGTACAATACAAACAAACAATTAATAAATTTTAACTTGAAGAAAATTTATATAATGATAAATTTTAATTAAACAAAACAAAAAGAAACAAAACCTTAGAATTAAAAATACAAGAAAAAAATCAAACAATCTTGACAATCGTTGTCAGAGAGACAATAATAGGAAGCAGACGAGAATTTCACCGTAGGGTCAATATCGATTGATATTAACTAAATAAGAACTTTCCCTTTCGCCGTTACCTTGCTCCTTATATACCGTCATTGTCGTACTGACCTTCCCTCCATTGCCTCCAAAAGCTTCCCCTCAGGGCCATGTCCGGGTCATTACAGTCTACTGCCTTGAGACCATTTCGCGTGCCGTCGCGACACCTTCTGTGCACAAATAACGACACAGAATAAGATGAAAAACTGTGGTTTAGCAGGTCTTTACTTACGAACAGCCTCAGCATACATCACCTAAAAAGAGTCGCATGTCCAAAAACGAAGGAGACGACAAAATTGATGCACATAATATTAAGATTGATGAAGAAGGTAATAATCAACCGTGATTTTCTAGTGAGGCATAGTCAAACACTAGTTTTGAAAATTGCTATTAATATGACAATATTATTTGATTTGTCGAACACGCTAATTTTTTATTTTAAAACCTGATCGACTTCAATATTTTATGCAATATTTTCTTCTCTATTTTTATTGTGGTTTTTAACTGCAGCACTCTGGAGTCGTGCATTGGTAACCTCGTTACGCCGTACAATTTATGACAACATCAGTCAAGTTCTAAAGTAGTAATATTTGCAGTGGAATAAATTCGGGTCAAAACAGCGCACAAACCTGCAACATCTATTACAATAAAGGTAAGTGAGTTATGATGTCATTGTTGGCAATTTCAGGTTAAAAAGTTTTTTGCTTCTTATGTTTTGCAGTATAGGTGATCGGACATTAATGACTGTAAACAGTAAGAGAAGCCAGAATAAAATACAGAGGCAAACTTGTATTTCTGTTGAAAAGTGTTTGTGAATAGATTAAAAGCATTGTTGAAAATTTTGTGTGAAATTAAAGCAAATTTTAAGTTCCACTGATTGTTCCTGTCTGAATAAATAAAAATAATAAATTCTGCAAGAAAATTTGCAGGTCGTTTGGTTTCTGTATGATTTAACTACGACATACGATAGCAAGCAGTTGATTTTAACCTGGTCATCTAGCTGAATTGTGCAACTATGATTGATGTTAACTGCTCGTACCTTACTTCAAGCTTCTATTGCATCGACTACTCGCTGGTTTTGCCATAACTGCATAGAAGCAGATCAAATACATTCTTGCCAACTTTTTAAATAACTAACTATACGAGGCCAAACACCATAAAGTCTGTTGCTAGAAGCAAAAAATCGGTCTGTTTAAATGCTAGGTATAACAGGCTGACATCAGATATCAAAATACTTTGTGTATTACTGCATGGGACTAAAAAAACAAAGACGTTCAGTTTCAAGCGGTATTCAGAACGGTCAAGTACCAATGTCTTCTGTATTAAAATGAATCATCTTACAAAAACGAACTTCAACTAAGGCAATGCTAGCTCCGTCAGAAAATTTTTTAATGTCTTCTATCTCCCCACTGTTAAGTGATCCTATATTGTAAAATAAGTTAACTTGCGAGAAAACTGCATTTAACTCAAAGCATTGAAATGCCAATTACTTTACTTCCACTTTCGAATGGTATATCGGCAGTTTAATCGGTACTGTCACAATTCAAAAACCAACGTTTATTCAACAAAGGATAAGCGAAGGAAAACACTGTGTGATCACGTATGTCAGGTAATTATTGTAAAATATTACTTTTTTATCTGACTTTCAGTCAATTTAACCACTACTTTGTTACATACTTACAACTGCGCATACTTGACTTCATTATATGTCACTATCTCATCATATTGTCAGAGCTTTATGCCCCTCCCACCTTTCGTTTTGTCTTCTATGTCTTCTGTTTTAAAGAATGGAAAATAACTACAAAGGCTGAGAACCCAAGTCAATGTGACATAATAGATAGATAGATCCAAAGTTTGCTCGTACAACATGAAAAGTAAAAATAATCTAGAAACACCGTTTCCTCCAAAACTTGAAACCCATTTTTATTCGCCTGTTTCTACTTCTACACGGTCAAATCTTTGTACGCATGTGAAAAATCTATCGTAAACAACGTTCACATTGAAAATTTCTTATTGATACAATGAAGACTCAATAATTGAAAGCAGAACTAACCGAAGAGACACATGACATAATTAATAAAAAATATGACATTATTTTTGCCAAGTAAAGTAACCAAACTGCCATACCAACCAGATATTAGCTGTGATGGATTTTGTAAATCAGAGTTAAGAGCTTAGTAACACTAAATTAAAGGTAACGGATACTATAGCGTCAAGTGCTGCATCTGCCTGCGGCTGTTTTGCAAAGGCTTCTTGACTACTGCGTACTTGACAGATAATGCGATTAAGCTGTTCCCTAGTTGAGCTGCCCCCGTATGACGATTATTTTGCTTTGTAAAGCTAAAAAAAACATTTTGCATAAGACACTAGTTAAGGCATGATTATTAAGAGAATTATGAAAATCCATTCAGGTTGGCAAAGAATGATTTTTAAAATTGAAAGAGAACAATGCCAAATTACTACAAAAAATTTTTGACGATAACTCATATGCACGTTGTTTTACGCGTCTAACAACGCCGCCAATCTCTTAATTCGTGATATTTTCAAAACGAACCCACGAAAAACGTATGGAAAGATTTCAGAATGGATGATTCTTATACCGAGCAAAAACTGGATCACCAACACGAATTGTTCCTTTATTCGTAACTCCCATATACACCCCAAATGCAGGACTGTCACCATAAATCTTATGAAGCTTTTCAGGAACTTTGCGGTATCTGAGACAATTTTTTTAGAAAGCTATCAAAGTTTTCACGGTTTTGTATTGTAGAGTTATTAGAAAATACAATCTTTTAGAAATAAATGTATAAAGACTAAAACTTACTCCCTCAACAGTTTCAGCGGCTGATTATTTTGTCTACGTATTCCCGTATCAGGATCAATCGTTGTTATGACACACCTACAAAAAAAATTTAAATAATAAAATTAAAGAGATTTTCTTCAAAACCAATAAGCATCAAGAAGAAATAAGGACAGTCAGTATCACTGCCATCAGTAGTAGAAAATAAAAATAGTAGATTTGAAAAATATTCAACCTCGGTTTCGTTTAAGTCTTTTGAAAGTCAATTTTATCAAGTCTGCCAAAAAACACAGTCTTGTCGGCAAACTGGTCAAAACGCGTAAAATCTACCTAGTGCATGGTCTATAGCAAGTAAACGTAACATCCGTAATTTTCAATTCGCCCCATACGTCCTCATCATACGGTTTAGGACCTCGAATTTCTATTCCTGGTCGAAATGATCTCATGTCTACTTTGTCTTCTGACGAAAGTCGCGAATTCAAGTCATTAACTGTACTTTCGCAGATAGCCAAGTACGGACACTCGTCATGGTATGCTACCTGTAAAGAAACGGTCATTATTCTAGAAAATTTCAAGAGCAAAACCTGTTGTATAAAGTGACTTACAGGGTCTCTTATTTTAGGAACCGAACCCAAAAGCCAACTCTCCTCTGGAACAACGTCGCGTTCGCTATATAAGTTTTTAACATAATAAAGTACCCTTATTTTGTCAGTAGTGTCGAGATATTGGCACAAAAAATTGCCTATTTCGTCACCGCAGTCTAGCCCATCCTGTTTTAGTTTTCGAAATAGCCTTAGTAGAAAAAGCAATTAGGTAGTCTTTTACAGGAATGACTAGCTAAAACACAATCTTTTTTCATCTATAAAACACGGTCATTAAGATCTTCTGCGAACAGTTGCAAACTGTTTTCTCCAGCTGTGAATTTCTAAGACTGATAAGTAGCTGTCGAAAGGAAAGGCTTCCTGTAGAGAGCTAAGCAATTAAGAAATAATTATCTTCTGTAGAGGCAAAGTTCTTTTAAACTAGCAACGTTTCAATTCCAGAACTTTTTCACTCAAAAAAAAATTAAATTTTCATAAATTTTTGCTATATGAAACTGCTATTCAGAGCAGCAAAGTTCATCCAGGAGGCCCCAGTGTTGTGAAGAGTATCAGAAAACCAGGGCTCTCTTGATTGGAGATGAGAATTTTTCCATTTTTATGCTGGCAGACACGTCAAATCTGCTTTATGAAGAAGGAAGTTTAAGCCTGAGTGGATCGATTATTTGTGTCAAGCTCATCGTGTGCCGCAGTAGACTATTACTTATTTAATAAAACTCTATAAATGACATAAAGCAGCATATTAACCAAAATTTTTTTTATAGAAAAGTTTCATACTGTTCTTCTCTTTGTCTTTCTTTCTTTTATTCACATATTCTCGGCCACTTCAGCTCTCTAAAGATCAACATTTCGCTACAAGCTGTATTTAATTTTTGACTTACTACAACTTTTTACGAAAAATGCTTTTTCTGCAGACTTACATAGATTGAAATAAAAGCACAACTTCTAAAACTTTTATTTTACAAAAGGAAATTTTTGAGAAAAAAACAGTTTTCTAAAAGCGCTAAATTTTGACAAAATTAGCGTCATTTTCTTTTCAAGGCTATTCTATCTTAAAAACAAAATCACACTGAAGAAGAACTTACTCTACTCTTTTTACGTTGTTTCTCTGAATTACTTCTGCAATGTTCAATTCAAATTTACGACCTGCAGCTTCTAGTATTAGCTTACCGTCCTAAAGAGTATATTGGAGTAATAAAACGTAAATACCGCTGTTGTAATTCAAGTAAGTTTAAAGAAACCGTTGTGCGGCATAAATAACCTTTCCAAATGTGGTGGAAGAGACTAGCATTGTAAAGCGGACTGCAAAGTGAGAAGTGAAAAAGATTTAAGTTAATTTAACTTGAACAAAGGTCGCTAATGGTGGAAAATGACACGTGCACCACTTTATAATAGCAGTCCATAATGCTTATACTTTGATTTCTGCTAAATAAATGGTCAACCTCAAGTTTTAGCTAGTCGTTACAAAGTTAAAAGACTTACACGAACTTCAGTAGAGACTGTGATAAGCTTAGGATATTGACGAGCTGTTAGGAATTTTCCGGTATTTTCATTCACCACCATAAAATGTCTGTCCTCCATTTCGTTCAGCCTTCCACCAACCTGTGTACACTCCATTTCCTTCACACTGACCTAAAAAGCTGAAAGGTTTTATGATATTAAATAAAAATCACTAAAAACTCTTTGTTGTTTCTTTTATTTTCCATTGTAAAAGTTGAGAAAAAGGTGAAGATTTTAATTAAACCTAATTTCTCTGTAAAACTACTGTTTATTTATATCGAAGCAAAAAAAGCGTACTCCTTTCATCGATTTTACAGGGAAAATATTTAATCCAGATACGTGACCAATTAAAACATAATCTGTGAGCATATTGAACAACTTTTTTTTGTGCCGATTGTACATAAATGCAGCAATTAAAGAACCGAGAGTACCAACGACAAATGCAGATGCCAGCGCCACCCAATGCTTCGACATCATGATCACTAAACATGGAAGCATAACAAAAGATTTTTAGAAAAAGATTATGAAAATAAACGAAAAAATAACACAGTAGCACAAAATTGTTAAAAAATGTTAATCTGCGATCGTATGAAGGTGCAACTACCAAAAATTAAGAAAAATATTTTGAGAAAGATCAGTTTGTAACATCTGAACAGTCAAGAAATAAGTTACTGGAAAGTGTCAACAGATAGGCCACATCAGTCATTTACGAAAAGATTGATTTATAAATTTTTTATTTGCCTCAACCTGTTGCTAAATTATATAATTGCAACAGTGTCAGCCGTATTCCTATTGTTTGACTGAATAGGTATAATCTTAAGTTTGACACTATTTTAGAGTCGTTATTTATTTGCTATCCGTCCTCAAACACTCTGGTCAACCTTTGTTATCAGAGGAACATCAGTCAATAACATTGAACAAACGAAATATTTTTCTTGTACTTTGTATTATTACTGCGATTATTCTGTCAAGTTTCACAACGGTAAGTCGGTTCTTTAGCCTTATAATAACCTTACTGATTTAAAAATGTTTTATCTAAGAAAGATGCTTGTAGCAATGCAGTAAAACTATTTCTCCCAAACACAAAAAATATAGTTGATTCTGCAAGGCATACAATCAAAATTGCATTTATTAAACTTACAAATGCTGTTTTTTAGGATAACTGCTTTTACAAAACTCGCACGTGACATCTCTCAAAACAGGTTACTTGTGATTTCAGATAAACTGTCAAATTACTTATTTATTTTAGCAAAAAAATTTGAACGAAAGTGATGGAAGTTCTTGAAATATTTAATTCGTTTGTAATACTGCAAAAAAAAGATTCTGCTTTAACTGCTATGCTGCTTTAAGTTTGATCCTTGTCAAAAATTGCAAGTTCTGCAAGAAATTTATTGGAATACTGGCAGCTCGGTAGATTTCTAAATCTGGCTATACAAAAATTTTATGATTTTTGCAAAATGCTTAAAACAGTAAAAAATTAAAATATCACAACTAATAATAGCACTAAACAAAAAGACAACTTATCTGTTCTTTCACGATCAAGTAAAATTTATGCATTAAAAAATTGATAAAGTAGTTCACTAAAAAAAGGCAAAAAAAGAAGAGGAAACGTCATTTGCAATCATTTGCAGTCGTAATACCGCAAACACACAAGCTTTAAAATAGTAGAGTATACAAGATACTAAGATAATGCCTCAATTTAATAACTTATAAGCAAACAGTTAGAAGTAAACTGCTGCTAAAAAATAGAAAAAATCCAAAAAATTGGTAAATTCTGAAGGAAAGAATTGGCTACAATGTTGCAAGTTTGACCCTTCGCTTTGCTTACATCATCTTCACTGTTTAATTAATTTTTCTCAAATTTGGCTGTGTGTTTGCTAAAACAATTGCTACTCTTGCTATTCGCATAAATATAAAATAAAAAAATAACAGAAACGCTTTATCAATCTAATCCTCATTTTCCCCTTCACCTGACAAACAGCCACCTCTTCATAGTTCAGGATACTGAGTCAAACATTTTGGTACACACACTCTTAGCCTTATCGTACTTTTCTTCTACTGAAAAAAGTTGTAAAAAGTTCACAACCGGCTTATTTTGCAAATTTAGCGCAAAGATAAAACTACTGTCTTTCAATATTCCCAGTTTACACAGGAGTTGCGCAATTATACACATTATCGGGCTTGGAGCTAATGTTTTGACGAAATACTTGTGCTAGTTTTTTTTTTTAACTAAACCTGTCTCCGAATCTTCTTCATAGAAAAAATTTTTCAAAGAGTCAAATACTTGGCTTTTTTCTCCTCATTTGCCTTGATTAAATAATATTAAAACCAAAAATTACCAATTTTTCAAAAATAAGACCTAAGTAAGAGAGAC